AGTGAGATCGCCGGTCGGCACCGGGATGTTGTCCCAGTTGATGTCGATGCTCCACAGCAAATCATGTTTTCTTAGCTATACTGATTAACGTCGGTGAACTAAGATTAATCTGGATGTGTGCAAGTAAGATATGCATTGTTTAGCAAGAGGAACTGTAGTTATTAAATCATTTTGTAGCATCTGGACGGGAAAATGTTTTTGTCATCCGAGGAAGCTAAAATTCTTTCTCAGAAGTGCAGGGTTTCCTTTGTTTTTGCTTGGTCACGAAACTGCACGCCACTATGGCCTTTGTATACTCAATTGAAGAATGGATGTTTCCCGTTTACTGTACATCATGGTACGACTACAAGGCAACTCAAATTTAGTTTCAGTTCTCTTCAGTGTGGATCAGTAAGCTGTTTATCTTACTTTCACTTTTAAATTGTTTGCTCTATCACTACACGCATGTGGTCCTATCTACGTCATTTCTCTTAATTCTAAGATGTTATGAATAGGTTATGAGAGTGGATTTTCTACTCTCGGGTGTCGTACACCTGAGTTTGCAAACAATTGGGAAAACAAGATCAAACAAAGTTGAAAAAATCTGAAAATTTGAGACATCAGACTTTATCAAATATTCGAGCTTCTTGCAAAATTTCAGCCAAAAATAACATCAGAGGAGTTCTCGCCAAAAAAACAAAATCAATGTTCAAAGTTTTGTGCACTGTTTGAACAGTGATTTTGTTTTTTATGGTGAGAGTTCCTCGGGTGTTATTTTTCGCTCAAATTTTGCAAGAAGCTCAAACATTTGATTATAATTTGTCTCAAATTTTCAGATTTTTTTAGATTTTGTTTTATCATGTTTTTTCAGTTTTTTTTGAAATGCGGTGTACTACACTCGAGAGTTGTCACACCTTTCTATATATCTCATGGTTTTGTGGCTTATGCCTTGGAAGCTTTTTGCCAATGCACAAGTGCAAAGTCCTTTCATTTTCCTCCTGCACACCATCTCTCTCTGTATCCTCAGTCGCGTACTATAACATTTGACAACAAGTCAGTGTTGTGTTGGTCTCAATGGGCTGGCACAGTACTATAGACTATGGCTAAAGGCTATGTTTACAAACATAAAATAATGATTCAAAGAAGGGGAGCAGACGGTGCTACGATATTTACCTCAAGGTGGTGAATCAATGAACCGAGGGACTTATTATTCGGTGAGGCCAGAGGGGTATTCCATTTCCTGCATTTCATCTTCAGTATGCTGACTCCAATCTCCAGAGTCCTCGATGCTTCTTTCTTAGTCCATTTAAATGGGTAATTGTTTTTACCAGTTGGTACATGCTTTTCTTTCAATATGCACTCTCACAATAATATACTTTTTCTGTTCTTCAATTTGATTTGTTGATGGTACAAGGGAATCATTGAAAAAATGTCTTCTCATCAAGGATTGGGCTGTGTTCTCATTATAGAACATAATTTATTATGTGAGGCATTTGCCATTTCAACATCTTGTCTAGGGTATATTTTTTTCCACTAAACTGATCTGCCTCGCAAACAAATTGTATGTAATACCCTCTTCTCCATAAATAAATGACATCTGCTTGGGCAGTAGGTCATGCTTGGCAGAATCGCCTCCTCCCGGTCTTCAGCACTCCTGCAGGAATTGAGCGCCAGTGTGGTCGGGACACACAGAACACCAACAAGCGACAAAAATGCACCACTCCGTAAGTTATTTTGGCTCATGTTTCGCTAAATTTGAAAGCGCGGACCTGCATGTGTATATAACTAGATATACTTGTCCTCGTGGAAATTCAAGTTGCTATTCTTCATAGCATTAAACACAATGAATTTTACAAGAATATTGATAGAGGGGTTCTATAAAATTATTTATGACTTTATGATTATGTTTTTACTATAGTTTATGGTTCAATTTGTACCTTGCAAACTGGCAAGTAAATATCACTTATTTAAGAAACAGAGTGTTGTTAAAATGTGGCTGATTACCTTGTAAATGTTTTACAGGATTCAACGATATATGAGTATACTTCCATGTCTACTTGATCCTTTTATACAGAATATGCAGCCAGAGTTTGGGCAATGATCAAAACATCGCTTGGTTTACATGATGTTCATCCTACGGATTGGGGAGGCATGGTTTCCATCAAGGAGTGGTGGCGCAACAACACTTACGGGAGGTCGCAATCTCGAAGGCCGCTTGTTTCCCATATTCTTAACCCTTGGGAAATCTGGAATGAGTGAAATGCTCGGGTGTTCCGCAACAATGCGACTCCCGTCGTTGTGCTTGTGACACGTCAAAGCGGAGGCATCATCGGGGTGCCTTGCCGGGCGAAATATTTGTGTAATATAATGCCGCGAGAGTGATTCTTAAAATCTTCGTCTTATTCAATGAAAATGACAAGCCTTTTGACATGTTTCAAACAAAATATGGACCCGAATAGAGTGAAATGTTTAATATGTGCATAGCATTTCTGGATTGAGAGATCTATTTACTTATGGCTGGTTTTTAAAGATGTCTTAGTCTTATAAAGTTGTGAAATTCTACGAGAAAAGGCTTGTGAGTGGAATTAATGAGTATGGTGCTTGTGAAGTTTCCTCCATAGCTCTTTTGCAATCAATCATTGGTCTGTTATTATGGGTAAATGGTTGTCCATATCCGAAATACACAACAGATTTTAGGTTGCATATATCTATGTCTTACAATCTATTTCTTTCATATTTTTCAGTTATTCCATTGTATGCATGCACATTGGAAGGCAGAAAGTAATGTTGGCTAGTCGCCAGAGAAGTAAAAAAGGCTAACATCTTGAGCTGTATGGAGCATGGTTGTTTTCTTGAAGTTTCTGGTGGAAGTAAAAAGGCTAACATCTTGAGCTGTATGGATCATGGTTCTTTTCTTGAAGTTTCTGATGGATTGTATACCATTGACTGAGAGGAATCGTTCATTCCATGAGAATGGGACAAGAGCATTGTTAGATGGAATTCGGCAGAGTGTAAGTACATATGAGAGGTGTGTTTTCATTGATAGAGGAAGGACGAGAGCATGACACTTCTACATGAAAAAGAAAGAAATGAAAACGAAAATTAAAAAGTAAAGAGAAGAATGCTATGATCTCATGATAAGATGTCGGTCACCAGCGAGCACCCACATGAGCAAACCTATAGTAGGTCCTAAGACACATAATATGTGATTAAGGGGCATAATTGGATTATGAGTTTGGACCAAAGATACTTTCTAAAGTATATGCATTGTAGCCACTGGAAAAAATAGCGCGCTAATAGCACGCTATAGCGTGTAGAGAATTGCTACGCTAAATTAACTTGTGTACAATGTCTCGCTAATAGCACGTTGTAGCGCGCTATAGCACATTTTTTGGGGCCACGCTATTTTCTGTAGTGTGCTATTTTTTCATTGTTGTAGCCCAGACAATAAGTTTGAGTTGTCACACCTTTTTATATATCTCATAGTTTTGTGGCTTATGTCTTCTTAAAGTATATGCATTATAGCCCGTAGAAACGCACGGGCGTTTTACTAGTACTCTCTTAATTTGCAGGGACTACACCCTGTGAAGCACGGTCGCTGAATAGACGTCCTCCCTCTGTCGTTTGCCTAAAAAACTATTTAATGCCTTGTGCTCAAAAGGGGGGGAGCTCGCCACTAAAAAAAAAAAAGCTATTCCCTGTCTCTCTTGTCCCGCTTCTTTCCCAAACTCAACCTGCTCCCAGTACTCCCAATTCCCCTTTCTACCGTGACTCCTAAGTCCTAACCCTAGATCGTCGTCACAGAAAGACAGACCCGCAAAAGGAAAAACAGAATCACAGGAAGACATATACCGTCACGGGACGGGGAGAGTGATAACGCTCGTAATCCAGCAAATACATGACGAAGGCACCGTACGTGCCGTCGCGTGACTTCTTCGTTGGAAGCAGGCGCGCCTCGGTTGGACCTGCATGCATGGAAAGCGTATAGGACGTCTGACACGGGCGATTCGGCGGATCTACGCAGCAAATCGCTGCGGCCATGCGTTCGTTCATCTCTGTCAACCTCGGCCGCTTCTCGAAGCTCGCGGGTAAAACGAGCCAGCTCGCAGCCCAATTCACCCTCGATCCGACGTGCAACGAACCTCTGATGACAGCACGACCAGCTCACGTGTGCAGTGCACATACCCTGGTGGTACTGGTGCTGGCACGTACGACCTCCTGACCATGAGAAGAGGGAACTTCTAGGCGTCAGACGTCCGTAGAGTTAAGCGCGCCGTTCGTTCCCTCCCTCCCGGGACCAGCCACAGCCAGCGTCTTCTTTCGCCACCTTGGCTCGCATCGCATCCCGTGCGTGCGCGCTCGCGCGCAGCACAAGACACAACCAAACGACGCTCACGAGCCGGGGAATTTAACGGTGGCCGCATCCCCGCACGCGGCATGTGAGCCGAGGTGAGCCCGGCCCTCTTCCCTTTCGGCGCCTTGCCCGCCCGGACCGGCGGCCACGCTCGCGCGCATCTACTCACCGTCAGACTCAGACAACCCCCGATCCGTCGACTGGCTTTTACCCGGTTCATCCCAGCGGAGGCCACGGCGTACGTGCCCGCGCCTGCCGTTCACGTTCGTCCGTTCGCGCGCGCGTGGTCCCTCGCGCGACAAGGCCAGAGCACGTCCGAAGATGCCACCATGGCGACACGCCAGCGCCGCGTGAATTCACCTTATTCTACCGCATCGGCGCACCGGCGTTTGGTCCGGCGAGCTGCCGGGCTGTGTCAGGTGCGGTTACATTGCTTCGTGGGTTAAAGTACTGCTAGACCACGCTCAGGTAGATTCAGAGAAGAATGCCCACTTCTATACCCTTCTCGTGCGCCAGCCCCTCGTCTCCTCCCCTCACCTCCTATAATATCTCCCTCCGCGAGCACGCTACGCTTCCGCTACTCCGTTATCTCCCTGTACACCGCCCGCTCCACCACTTGCTCGAGCTGCTGGGTGCTGCTGGCCCGGCCGGCCACCGTCGGGCCGGGATGGCAGACGTGGCAGCGTTCGGTCCCTCGCCGCCGGCACCGTCTCCTCTCGCGGCCGCCGACGTCGCCGCCGACGCGCTCCTCGCGCCTTGGCCGCTGTCCCCGTGGGCGGCGCCCCTCCGGCCCGGCGGCGACGACGGCCGGTCGAACCCGCTCTTCGCGATACTGCCGCTCTCGGCGCTGGCGATAGGGCTGGTGCTGCTGGTCGCCGTGGCGCTCGTCCTGGTGCTGACCCGGCGGGCGAAGCTCAGGCTGCTGGCCGCCGGGGACAGCGTGGACGGTGACAAGCCCGGCGCGCCGGCGTCCAGCTGCGGCAGCAGCGTCCGGGGGTACCAGAACGGCAGGTGCTACGCCGCCACAGGTAAGCCGTAAGCGTGCGCTCGCTCGCTTAGCCAATGCAGCAGTGTGGCCTCGAGGAGCGTTGGTGGTGATGGATTGGTGTGGCGCAGGGTGCATATACGGCGGGCGGCTGGGCCCGCTGGGGCTGGCGGCGGTGCAGCCGCGGAGCCGGGGCGCGCAGGTGTTCACGTACCGGGAGCTGGAGCGCGCGACGGACGGGTTCGGCGAGGGCAACGTGCTGGGGCGGGGCGCGTACGGCGTCGTCTTCCGCGGCCGCCTCGGCGACGGCACCCCGGCCGCCATCAAGCGCCTGCAGCTCGACCCCCGCCGCCAGGGCGAGCGCGAGTTCCGCGTCGAGGTAATTCATTCATTTGTTCAAGCTGCACATCGATCGGCTCACGTCTCGTCCAAGTCCATGTGCGCGGGCGGGCGTGCGCACGCACGCCGCCTTTGTTGCGCGTACCAACCTTAAGCTTAGTTTCTACACGCAAACGAACCACCAGCGGCAGCAGCAGCAGAGAGGAGAGGGAGCGGTTCGTTTGGGTACGTGGTTGCTGCTGTTTGTTGTTGAGGAGCGCCTGGGAATGGGATGGATCATGCACGGGTCGGGGGAGCTTGTGGCACGCGTACGTAACCAGGGAAGGGAAGGAAGGCATCCAAGTACGCATTCTGGTTGGGTCATTCCGTGGCCACGGGCGGGCGTTGGTGACAGACTGTTGGCGTTGTCTTTAGTTGGGGGAGTGAGAGAGACGCATCACCACCAGCATCAGCCAGGGGATGTGTTGCGGACTCAGCAAGGCGAAACCGCAGCAGAATAGCGGTGCGGGTGCCTGACTCGTACGTTCGTTTGGCGGATCATGCGCAACTTGCCGCGCCACGGGTGAAAGGGGCCCTTGCCTTGCTTCCCGACCGGGCCGGAGAGCCGCGCCGTGCCCTGTGCCGTTGCCATTCGGGCAGGGGAGCTCAGTGCCCTTGCAGTACTACTACGTGACTCTGCTAGCAAACCGTGGTCTTATCGCCCTGGCTCGCCGAACCATTTCAGACTGGTATAGCGAGACTAGACTAGGCACACAGTCACATCACAGGCTAATCAAGTTAGTTAACTTCTGAAAATCCAGCTCCACACAGTCTCTTGTAGCCTTGTCTCATCAGCCCAACCATGTTTTGGACTGGACTGCCATATTCAGTTTCCTGTGGGCAAATTGGGCGCTCCTGTAGCAGTTCACTGCGCCAATGTAGAATTGACTATGCTGTATTTTAACATCACGCATGGAATTGTCTGCAATAGCGTCTGTGGGTCTAGTTCGTTCACGGGCAATGCAATGCATATGCTGGTCTACGGCCGGTTGACTTGAAGGTCCCGGATCCACACCATTAAGATGAAGAACCTGCTAACACCTTCTGCCTCGGTCCATGCGTTTAATTGCCTAGCTAGCAGGGCCATCTTCTAGAGCAGCGGCTAAAGTCCGGGGGCGCACGCTGGCTGCTGCCTAGCTGTTGATACTATCTACGTACCTGCCGTTAACAAATCATACTGTAAGTGGTGATGACTGACACACCTGAGTGCCGCAATGTTGCTCTGTTGGGCCGATTTCATCCATGGATCCGGAGACGAACTGCACCCGCATGTGTCATGCGTGGGTGTGTGGGTCGACGTACGTTCTTGCTTCTTTTGCACTCTTTCCATGTTTATATACGCTCCTACCTACGTAGTACTCTTAATTAACAGTTTTGCTAGAACTCATCTAAATGAGATTAATTTGGTCTCATTCATCTTTTATAGCCATTGGATGTGATGCTATAAGATGCTATAAGATGCGTGTGTGCTGACGTGGATGTTATATGTTCTTATTTTTCAAATGAATGAGACCAAATTATATCTCATCTAGATGAGTCCTAGGTACTCCCCTTAATTAAGCCTGTTTAAGGCATTAACTTCAGTTTCCCCGATTTGGTGTTGTAACCCCATGAATAATGATCAGAGTGTTGATCGAGCCATGCAATGCAATGCAATCAACTATAATTAGCTACGGTTTATTATCACAGGTGGACCTGCTGAGCCGGATGCACTCGCCGCACCTGGTGGGCCTGCTGGGGTACTGCGCCGACCAGAGCCACCGGCTGCTGGTGTTCGAGTTCATGCCCAACGGCAGCCTCAAGGGCCACCTGCACCCCGTCGTCCCTGCCGCCGGCGCCGAGGGGCAGCGGCCGGCGCTGGACTGGCAGACGCGGCTGGGCATCGCGCTGGACTGCGCCCGCGCGCTGGAGTTCCTGCACGAGCACACCTCCCCGGCCGTCATCCACCGCGACTTCAACTGCAGCAACGTCCTCCTCGACCACAACTACCGCGCCCGCGTCTCCGACTTCGGCACCGCCAAGGTCGGCTCCAACAAGGCCAACGGCCAGGTCGTCACCCGCGTCCTCGGCACCACCGGCTACCTCGCGCCAGAGTACGTAGACGAATTTCCCAGCTTCTGGTTAACAAGATCCATGGCTGACGATGCTGTTGCGTTGCAGGTACGCGTCGACGGGGAAGCTGACGACCAAGTCGGACGTGTACAGCTACGGGGTGGTGCTCCTGGAGCTGCTGACGGGCCGGGTGCCGGTGGACACGCAGCGGCCGCCGGGACAGCACGTCCTCGTCTCATGGGTCAGTGCACAACTCACCACACTGTTCAGCAGCGTACCGTCCCTCATGTGGTTTGTCTTAGCCACCTAGGATCCGTGCCATCGGCGGCAACCATGTGGTCGCCGAGATAGATGTTCGAC